CTGTGGGGGATTGGGGGGAGCTGGGGCTGAGCCTGGGCTCTGGGCGCCTCCCGGCTACGGGGTTTTCCGTTGTGCTTCTCGGGGCTTCCCAGCTGCCAAACGTCGGGGGTGTTTTGGGAACCCCCAGGGTGGCTTCTCTTGGCCCCATGTGGTCCCTGCCCCTTGAGGTCCCCAGCATCGGGCCCAGTCTCCTGCCCCCACCTGAGCAGGTTCCCCCAGGCTGGCTTTAGCCCCGGTCTCCTCTCCCAGGCTTCCCCCCGCGGACAGAGGCTCCCATGCCCCCTCGAATCCACCGCCTGGCCTAAGGCTGCCCCGGGCAGCGCCCCTACACCCACCTCCGGATCCCACTCCTCTCACCCCTCGACCCCTCCTGGTCAGCCCTCCCCACCCATCTTCCATGAGACCCTCCTCAGCCCTGCGAACCCCTCCTCTCCCCTCCCCTGCAGCTGTCCCCCTCCTTCCTCGCCTCTTCCACCTGCCTCAGCCCCTGTCCCTTTCCTTGCAGTAGGGAGGGCTCAGTCCTGGTCCCCACCAGCCCCCCGGGGTCACCCTGCCCGTAGCCATGTGGGACAGCCCTATCACTCCCCTGGCACCGGGAGGCACACCCCACAGCCGACTCCGTAAGGCTCTGCAGCTCACGTTTCAAGGCTGCCTCCCCAGGTCTCCCAACTCAGGAACCATTTTCTCCAACCCCCGACAGGCAAAAGTCACCTGAGTCTCAACCCTCACTTCTTGTCCCTCCCCCCAGCCAGGACCCCCAGTCCTGTCCCTCCCTGTTTTCCATCTCCCCTGCAGGAGGGAATCCGGCTAACACCTCTCCCACCTGAATCACCCGTCTCGCTTGCCCCCACCGGCCCCCACGCATCCCAGCCTGCGTTCTTCCTTGTGCCACGAATGCCCCGTGAATCTGAGCCTGCCTGTGGCACCCACGCCCACCGCTCCCTCCCCTCCCTGAGCCCGCTGCTGGACCCATCTCAGGCCCTGTGGAGCTGCTGGTGTCCTGAGTCCCCTGAGGTGACCAGGCCACCACCCTAAAGGCACATCTTGCTGTCTGCTGTCCCCACGCCAGGAACGGTGCACCCAGCAGGTCCTCAGTGAGTTCCCCCTTCCCAGGACCCCCTCCGGGCTCTTTCCACACCTGTGTCCCCACTGTGCCTCGGCCAGCCTTGGGCACCGGCGCCCCTTCCTAGGATGGCTGGTACACTTCTTGCTGCAGGTGATGAAACGCCCTCTCTTGTAAGGCTGAGTCAGCTGGCCCTGAAACGGGAGCACCACCACCCCATCCCCCAGGCACCTCCACTGCCAGCATCTCACTCTCCCGACGTTCCCCGTTCCCCAAGTGTCTCCTTGGCAGGTGTCTACCCAAGCCTGTGTGCTGCTGCCGGGTCCTGATGGCTCAGAGCAGCCTGGGGTGTGGGGTGGGGAGCCCTGGATGGGCTTGCGCGCTGCCCTAGATTCTAACAGCCTCCTTGGAGGTCACAGGTGGGTTGGAGGTGGGCTCACCCTGCCTTGAGCTTCCAGCAAACACCTCCCAGAGCAGTTCGGCAGGGTCAGGCCAGGTCTCCCAGCCTCCTTTCACCAGCTCCGCCAGGGGCCCCCAGGCCCTCCAACCCCTCACCTGCCCCTGTCCATGTGCTGAGAGCATCAGGCCACACCCGCCTGAGGAGAAACCAGGGCCTCATCTGCCACAGTGTAGGGGCCTAGGAGGAGGCGGGAGCTTACCTGAGAACAGGAGAGGCCACATTCCTCAATCCTGGGGATGGCCAGGCTCTGGAGGGTGCCCCAGGTCAGGCAGAGGAACGCAAGTACTTGCCCAGCCAGCATCTGGCTGTGCAGTGACAGCTCCCACTGGAGACTGTGGACATGAGTGGGGCAAGTTTGCAGGGTGCCCTGTGGCAGCGGCTCCTAGCCGACCCTGCAGCTGCAGCCCTAAAGACGAACAGAGGAGAGAAGGCCGCTCCTCACAGCAGGAGCAAGTGGACACACCCCCTCCTGGCAAAACAGGGCTCCCTTTACGGACAGCAGCCGGGAGATTTTCCATCACCCGGGGCCGTGAGACTGTGGCCCGACACTCGTGGAGTTTCTAGGTTTCCAAAGGAAGCATCCGGAAACCTTGAGGTCTTTGGAGTCCCAAAACACCCTAATGGGGTTCCCCACGGGGCGGCCACTGGAGCAGAGATAGCTCCAGGCCAGCGGGATCAAGGCATCGCCTGTGTGCACCCCCCTCAGGCGTGCGTGAGGCCGGGACAGTAGACAAGCCCTGGAAAGCTGGCTGGGCTGGTAAAGGGGGGGCAGAATCTGTCTTGGGCACTGGTACCCCAGAGCCCCTGGCTTCAGCCCCAGCCTCTAAGGGAGAGCCCTCTCCTGGGACCTGAGGCTCCACCCCAAGTCCTCAGCCCTCACCTTCCCTCCAGATGTGAGAGGCCATCCCCCCTGCTCAGTCCTCACTGTGAGGTCCCCCACTCCAGAGGGCAGCCCCCAAGGCTGGGAACTCTGGGGCTCGGCTTCTGCTCAGGCAGCTGTTCTGAGTCCTCTTCTTATCTGGAGCATCCAACATGCAGGAAAGTTTTTGGGCAGAAACTCCCTGCTTCCCATTTGCCTCCAGCCAGGGCAGGGGGTTGGAGAGAACCAGGGTGTGGTTCTGGGCGACCTGGCTCTTCTCTTCCTGGACAGGCCCAGAGTCCCTGTGTCCAGCCCAATCTCTATGTCTTGGCAGCACAGAAGCTCATGCCTCTGTTCCTGGGAGGGCACTGCCCCACGTGTGTGTGTGCGTGTGCATGTGTGTTCCTATCTGTGTGCACATGTGTGCGTGTGTGGTGGGGGATGGAGGGAGTGGATAGCTGGGGTGTTCTGCCTGGAATACCCACAGAACCCCCAGACTGGGAGAGGCCGTGGGCCTCACACTGTGGGCTCGGGGAGCGTCAGGAGGGAGCTTGGGAAGCAAGCTCTGGGGCTGGGTCCCAGGGGAGGGAAGGGGCCTGCCATGGCTATGAACTCCTCCCTCCCTTCTGCCACCGCCCCCTGCCCACCTCCCTGCCTCCTGGGCCAGCACCTCGGCCCTGCCCCCATCTCCATGGGCTGGAACTTATGCAGTCACTGCAGGGTCCATGGGGCTGAGCACCCCCCGCCCACAGTGTGCCTATGGCCGTGGCGCCTTGCAGAGTGCCCGGTGCTGGCCTCCACACCACAGCGTGGTCAGCAGGCAGGTATGTTTGGGGGTGGCCCAGGACGGTCTCTGTCACCCACTGTCCCGTGCTGGCTGGGCTGTAAGACAGATACTGCAGCTGGGCCTTGCCCGTCAGCCTGGCGCCCAGCCCTCCTCATACCGGGGGGCTGCTGAGCCATGGCAGGTGTCCCAGGCGACGTCCATGGGCACGGCCAGCAGGATCCTTGAGAAAGGACAAATGTCCCTCCCTCCCCGGGCCCCTCACACTGGAACCTCTCTGTCTCCAGGCCTCACTGGGACAGGCCCCCACCATGACACCCAGCTGCCTGAAGGCATCCTCCCAGCACCGTCACGCAGGCAGGGGCTGCAGGCAGCCAGTAGCCAGTGACCTCGTGTGGGGACGTCCCATGGGGTGTGGCTGGTGCTGGTCCCAAGGCCCAGGAAGGATGGTGAAGCCAGGCCCTTGCCCCGGCCCGGCCACCCTGTCCAACCCGAGGATGGGGGCTCTGGCGCTGGCTCTGAGGGCTGCGGGATTGGCCCCGCTCAGTATCCATGAAGAGCCAGGCCACAGCCACCTCCTGGACGAGGCCTGGGTGGCAGGGGGAGTCTTTCCATGTCTGGGTCTCCAGAGCAGCACAGTCCAACCCTGGGGTCTCCCTCAGTGCCTGCGCTGGGCACCAGATGGGAGGAAACACAGGTGGGAGAGCCTGGGCGGCGCCAAGACTTGCACAAACGCGGGACGAACGAACCAGCGTCCGCCTGGGACCCCCAGGCTGATGCCTTCCCCAGGGTGGCTTGGAGGGGCCGGGGCGGGCGCGGGGATGCCAGGCGCAGGGCACCCAGGAAAACTGGCGAGGACGTGGGTTCTCAGCCTCAGCTCCGCGCAGGTTTCCAGGGACACGCGCCTGGCTCCGGGCCATCATCCTGATCCCCGCGTGGGTCCCGGCTCACGGGGTCCGAGGGCTGCAGCTCCGCCAACCCATCGGCACGAAGGATGTGCCCTGCAGGACCGGGGCGGCTGTGGCCCGCAGCACACGGGGCAAGCGTTCGGGGGTCCCCCTGCAGCCCTGGGGACAGAGGGGTGCTGAGACCGCAGGCGTCGGGCTGCATCCAGCTGCGCTGCCCTCCGCCCGACTGCCCCCGGGCGCGCTGGGACCCGCCACCCCGACAGTGCCTTCCTCCACCTGCAGTCGCGCCCCGAGCCCTCCCCAAACACCCACCACCGCTCGTCCGGCCCCACGATGTCCCACACCCCCTGGACCTCTGGACGGCGCCCAGGACGCTGCGCCCACGCCCGGTGACCCTCACGCCAGGCCACAGACCCCTGATTCCTCGCCCACGTCCTCCCCCACCCCAGCCCACCCCCGACCACCCCTGGCCTCATCCCTGTGCCCGTGGGTCCCTCAGTCCACACCCACCAACAGGCGACGCCCAGGCCCCTCAAGGCCATGCCCCAGGCAGGCCCCTTGGGGGCATCTCACCACCTGCCAGGGCAGCCCAGTGGAATGTCCAGCCCCAGGTGGCTCCCAACTCGATCCTGCGTGGAGCCCACCTGCTTCCCCCAGCTTTCAGAAAACCAAGACCTCCACTCAAACGCAGGGCAGGCGCGGTGGCTCAGGCCTGTAATCCCAGCACTTTGGGAGGCTGAGGTGGGGGGATCACCAGGCCTCAAGTTCGAGACCAGCCTGGCCAACATGGTGAAACCGTCTCTACTAAATATGCCAAAAATTAGCTGGGTGTAGTGGTAGGCACTTGAAGTCCCAGCTACTCAGGAGGCTGAGGCAGGAGAGTCGCTTGAACTCCAGAGGCAGAGGTGGCGGTGAGCTGAGATCACACCATTGCACTCCAGCCTGAGCAGTAAGAGCAAAACTACTTCTCAAATAAAAATTAAAAACACGGGCAGGGGGTCAGGGGTGGGGCATCGCGCCTCTGGGTGAAGGCTCTGTGGATGGAGAGGTCCCCTTCCTCAGCCTGCCTAACGCCCCTCCACCTGGCCCCTCACCCCAGAGGGGGAGTCCAGCTCTGCCTCCCAGCACTCCTGCCTAGAAGGACCCAACCAGCCGGGGGATTTGGAGAAGAGCAGCCCCCACTGCGACTCCTCCTGCGCTGCTGTGCCCGGGCTCAGGTTCAGATGCCTGGTGCAGAGCTGGGCCGGACCAAGTGGGAGGTGGGCACAGGGCAGTGCCTGCAGATGAGGGCCAGCAGCTGGGGCAGGCCCCCAGAGTCCCAGGGCAGGTCAGTGGCTGTACAGGTCAGTAGGGAGGTGGGAGTGTCAAGGCTGAGGGCGTTCCCGTCCCCATGAAAGGCTGCAGCTGGTGCAGTCCATCTGGGCACGCTGGCACCTGAGAGCCGGGCCTGGGCTGGGGTTCTCAGTCTGGAGAAGACCTGCTGCCCACAACCTGTGGTCAGACCTCACCAGGCCCCATGGGCTGTTCTGATGCCAGGAGCTGCTGGAGGGAGCAGGCCCCATGCCCGGCATCCCACGTGGTGCCCGTGGTCTGAGAGGTGGCTGCAGCCCGTGCCCTTTCCTGCGTGGGCTCAGAGGTAGCAGCCGTGACGGGCAAGAGCAGGTAGGTGCTGTCCACTGTGGGGCCACTCCTCGAGGTCACCCCTGCATGGCAGCTGCTGCTTTTCAAGGACTTTCACACCGTTCCTCGGAGTGTCCCAGGATAGGCAAGGGTGGCAGGTGTGGCCACCATGCGTCTTTTTCACACAGGGGTCCTCTCAACCCGACATGCTGGGGCCTTGGCCTGACTCTTGCTGGCCTCCAGCCACTGGCCCTGCCCTGAGGCTGTCTCGGGTCTCTGGCCATCCCTCCTCAGTGGGGTGAGCCTGTGCCAGGCCCCGTCCCCCATTTCCTGGGGCCAGGAGTCAACCTCAGGTTGCCCAGGCCAGGAAGGGTGAGGGGAAGCCCAGCCTGTACATTTGCTGCAGCTGTACCTGGTGAGGGAGGGACAGAAGGAGTCCCAGGGTGGGGTAGGAATGTGGGGTAAAGGGGAGACTCCCCAGTTTTCCCAGCCCCCGGGGATAAAGGTTCCCAAGCAGCCACAGCCTAGCCCAGAAGTGCTGGGGCACCCACTACCAACAGCAAACTCGGGGCCCCAGGCTGAGTCACTCTTCCTCAGGGTCTGGGTGGGGAGAGCCCCCAGTGCCTATGCAAAGCAGCCCATGGCTTCCGGGAACCTCAGGTGGAAGCTGAGCAGCGCCTGGGAACTGGATCTCCTGGAAGGGCTGGGCCAGCCTGGCACATGAGACAGGCCAGGGCCTTCGTGGCACAAGCAGGGCATGAGTGGCAGGAAGAACGAGGTAGGAGCAGCTCCCGCTCCTCAGGGCTCTCATCCTGGAGGGGAGATGCAGGGAGGCTGGGCCGAGGACTGGGAGGTCAAATCTGCAAGGGTACTTCAGTGCAGCAGGCCAGGCAGTGCTGTTGGGCAGGGCTCTGTCCCCACACACCCAGGGCCTGCTGGAACCCACCAGGGTGCCCAGAAAGTATGTGTCCAGTGAGTCAGGGCAGAGGCTGGGCCCACCCTAAGCCAAGGAGAGGGGACTCAGTGTCTGTGGCTCTCCGTGTGTCTGTGCGTGATGAATGGAACATGCATGAGCTGGCTGAGCAGCTGGTGTGGGGCCTGTGCCCTTCTGAGGGAGGGGAGGCTCTACGGAGGCCTCTACGGAGGCCAGGGCTGGAGTGAGAGTCACAGTGGGGACCAGCAGGCTCCAGGGAGCCCATAAGGTGCACTCAGTAATGAGGGATCTGGGACCTAGACCAGTCCTTCCAGGGAAAACCACCAAACGGGAGCATACGGTAGGAAAAGCAACATAGAAATGGGCAAAAGCAGCAGGCAACATAGTAAGGGAAGAGGGGGCCAGACCAGGGAAGGTGAGCCCAAGGAGAGGGCGCCCCGAAAGGTACCGGGCCCCAAAGTTCCTTCCTCTGACGCTTCAGCACCTGGAGCTCTGGGTCCCAAGGCCCTGGAGTGTGGGGACAGAAGACACCTCACACCCCCCACAAAATGGGAGCCCCAAACCACTGGGTGCAGGGTGAATCAAAAACAGCCGGGCGTGGTGCATGCCTGTGGTCCCAGCTACTCGGGAGGCTGAGTGGGAGGATCGCTTGAGCCCCAGAGCTTCTGGCTGCAGTGGAGGCTGCGACTGCACCACTGCCCTCCAGCCTGGGCCACAGAGTGAGATCCTGTCTCAGAAAAGAAGAAAAACGGTCAAATAATTTTATTAAAGAGTACAACTTCTAAAAATGAAAGCTGTGAGAAATTAAAACTTCAGTGGGTTGGTGGCATCCTGAAATGAACAGGAAGACAATGCAGCACAGGCAGCCGAACAAATCAAAGACGTGGGAGATGAGGAGACGCAGGGAAAGTGAGAAGGCTTAGCAAGCATTTAGTCTGCGTTCCAAAGGGGAGGGGACAGAACGGGGTGGGGGCAACATTTAAAGACATAACGGCTGAGAGAGTCCCATAACTGAATAATGACACCGTGGCACACAGCAAAGACATTCAAATTCCAGGTTGAATAAATGAAAATCAAATGGAATACTCAGATATCATATTAAAGCAGTCTTAAAAGCTGGCAGATAGAACAGGCAGCTCCCCTTGGAGTGGCGGCAGGCTCTGCCAATTTTCCAAGAGCCACAGTGGAAGGACGAATTCAACGTTCAGAGGGAGAGCGGCTGCAGCCTGGACTCCTGCCGCAGAGCATCGACTCTGTCATGAACCTGTGTGAAAAAGATGTTTATAGGCCGAAAGCTCGTCTGAGCGTCCCACCGCTGGCGCCTCCCTGAAGAACACTGTCTTGGGTGGACAGAAAGTGGTTCAGAACGAATGTGATGGGACATCCGAGACTCGGGAAGAGTGAAGGGCAAAGAGGAATGTATGTGGGTAAATCTAAAAGCCCTGGCTGTGCGGCAATGATGGTAATCACACCCAGGAGACTGTTAAAAACATTATTAAACAGGCTGACAGCAACAGCGAAGTCAGAAGGCAGCAGGGGACGTCCATTTTCCAGGCTTCAAAGTTGATGTACTCTCGGGTGGGTGTAAGTGCGATTTCCTTCACGTTAGATTTTGGTAAGTTAAACGTGCAAGGAGTGATTTGCAGGCAGTCGCTAAAAGACTAGAAAGAGGGTACATCACCTCTAAACCAGGAGAAGGAAAAAACAAAATGAGAGAAGGAGCATCAGTGAAAACTGTGACAAGAACACAGGAACATAGAATGGACAAGATCAACAAAAACTGAGTGAAATCAGACGGTGGGCACTGTGGCCATCGGGCTCCAAGGCAGGATGCTCACCCCAGGCACTCATGCATGTGTGCTCCCCTCCTGCCCGGATCAGGATTGGGGTGCGTGGCCTGTAGAATATAGCAGCAGCAGGGGTATGTGATGTCTCAGGTGAAGTCATAAAGAGACCTCATGACTCTAGCGGTCTCTCTTGAATCACTCACTGGAGGAAGCCAGCTGCCATGTTGTGAGGACACTCAAGCAGCCCTGTGGAAGGTCCACGTGGGAGGGACTGATGCGGGTGCACCATCAGGGAGGTGGGTCCCAGCCCCAGGCACACCTTCAGATGACGCTGCCTCAGTTGGCACCGGGACTGAGCCTCAGGGGCATTCCTGAAGCGGCACCATGCCAATGAGCCCTCCTCAGAGTCCTAAGCCACAGAAAACGTGGGTGATAAACGTGTGCTTTGTCAGCAGCTCTGCTTTGCAGTGATTTCTTATGCAGAATCAATCACCACAGAATCCATGTTCATGATTACATTAAATGTAAACGATAGGTGTGCTGATTAAAAGATTAAACATTGGCAGTCTGGAATGTTATGCAGAGAGACATGTAAAACATAAGCTTATATAATGAGAGAAAAAATATACCAGGAAAATCCTCACCAAAATAAAATTAGTAACAATCTGAAATCTCTAAAGTAAGAACTGGTAGAATTCCATGCGTCCCCAAGATTCATATCATCCTTTGCTTAGTAACTGATAAAACAAGCAGACCAAAAAAAAAAATGTAAAAAAAAAAAGGGAAATAAAATACAGTATGTCAAAATCTGGCCCAATTCATGATACTGAATAATTTCAGAATTACACATTATTGGCACCAAGAAACATTTATAAAAATTGACCACCTAAAGCAACTGACAACCAATATCTAAGATAACGGTCTGTAACCAAAATACAATTTAGCTTACAAGGAAAAGAAACAGCTAACTAGGCCGGGTGTGGAGGCTTGCACACAGCTCTAATCCCAACACGCTGGGAGGCCCAGGCAGGCGGATTGTTTGAGCTCTGGAGTTTGAGACCAGCCTGGGTTTTGCCTGGAACATGACAAAACCCCATCTCCACCAAAAAAAAAAAAAAAAAAAAATTAGCTGGATGTGGTGGTGAATGTCTGTGGTCCAAGCCACTGGAAATGCTGAGGCAGGAGATGGCTTGAGTCTGAGAGGTGCTGGCTGCACTGAGCCAAGATCGTGCCACGGAACTCCAGCTTGGGTGACAGAGCCAGATCCTGTCTCAGAAAAAAAAAAAGTAACTATAAAATCTGATGCTACTGCATTTCTAGGAAACTGATTTCTAAGTAAATGAGAGATTAAATAATTGTAATGAAAATTAGAAAATATTGAACTGAATAATAAAAATATAACATCTCAAAAAATTTTAGATTCCGTTAAAACAGAAAATCAAGGGTCTCTGGTGACACTGATCAAGATGGGAGAGGGAGACACAGGTAATATTAGGAATAAAAATGAAGGCATCATCTAGTCCTGCAAAGACCAAAAAGATAACGAAGGAGCCCAGCACGGTGGCTCACGCCTGTAATCCTAGCACCTTAGGAGGCTGAGGAGGGAGGATCACTTGAGGCCAGAAGTTTGAGACCAGCCTGCGCAACATAGTGAGCCCCAGTTCCTTAAAAATAAAAAATGAAAATGAAGGAAAGCAAGGTTAATTTCACGTTAGAATCAATCAATGTCATTCACCACATTAACAGAATAAAGGAAAACTGCCCAGTGACCTTGGGGGAGGGGGCAGGAGGGTCCTGCGGGAGAACCCTGGCAGCATGGCTGGCATGTGGGGTAAAGGGCCGAGGAGACCTTTCCTCTCCACATGAGAATCTGGCACTAGGCTAAGTCTCCAGCTGCCTCCACTGATGACCTGGTAAAGGTAGTCCGCAACACTGCTCACGGCAAATCTGCCCTGGGGCAGGCAGGCTACCCGGGGGCTGAAGACTCATCTGTGCCTGGTGGGGCCTGCGTTGCTGGCCTTCCTGAGTGACCCCCACACCGGGGCGTGTGCCCAAGCCATGGGGCTTAGCCTCCTGTGGGACAGGCGGCATCTCGGTGAGTGGAGTCCCAGCCCCTGAACCTCAGTGGGAATCAGGAGGCAACACCTGCGTGCTGTCCTGGAGACCCCTCGTAAAGACCCCATCATGCCCTCATAAAGACCCCACCGCGCTCGTAAAGACCCCACCGCGCCCTCATAGAGACCCCAGCACACCTTCCTAAAGACCCCACCATGCCCTCGTAGAGA